GGGGGGGGGAACCCCGCCACAGCGCCTGGGAGCAGAAGGGGAAACCCAGCAGGAGGGGCTGGGAGCGGGAGGGGAAACCCAGCAGGAGGGGCTGGGAGCGGGAGGGGAAACCCAGCAGGAGGGACTGGGACGGGAGGGGAAACCCGCCACAGCACCTGGGAGTGGGAGAGGAAACCTGCCATGGCGCCTGGGAGTGGGAGAGGAAACCTGCCATAGCGCCTGGGAGCTGGAGAGGAAACCCGCCACAGCGCCTGGGAGCTGGAGAGGAAACCCGCCACAGCGCCTGGGAGTAGGAGCAGCTCGGAGTGGGAGCGAAGCCTGCCTCAGCTGGTTTCGCTCCCCTCTCTGCTTGGCTCCAGCCACTGGAAGCCCTATTCTTGCAGGCATCTTCCTGCAACGGGCCTCTAGTATTTAATAAATAGACCATAAATACTTATAAAAGCTCATCAAATATTCCTTTCACAAGGAAAAATTAACCTGTGGTATTAGGTAATACCACTACGGTATATTTCTAAAAATCTTTCCTACATGATCAGAGAATTTTCCTATCTATTATTCCATTTTGCCTTCATGGTAGATGAACAAATTCCATTCCACTATTAGGAAAATGGAGTTAGATAACAGCATCCAGACTAGAAACAGTAATTTTGTCCCTTAATCCACATCTCTCTTTAAAAAAATGTTTTTATTGATTTTTAGAGAGAGAGGAAGGAGAGGGATATAGAGATAGAAACATGGATAGGCTGCCCCCTACTGGGGATCAAGCCTGCAACCCAGGTATGTGCCCTGACTTTTTTGTTCATGGGTCAATGCTCAACCACTGAGCAACACTGGCCAGGCAATCCACATCTCTTTTTTTTTTTTTTAAATATATTTTATTGATTTTTTACAGAGAGGAAGTTAGAGGGATAGAGAGTTAGAAACATCAATGAGAGAGAAACATCGATCAGCTGCCTCCTGCACACTCCCCACTGGGTATGTGCCTGCAACCAAGGTACATGCCCTTGACTGGAATCGAACCTGGGACCCTTGAGTTCACAGGCCGATGCTGTATCCATTGAGCCAAACCGGTTAGGGCCACATCTCTTTTTATAGAGATTTTTATGTTCTTTTCTCACATAGTACCTGCACTAATGATGTTTTTCTCCAAAGAAACAATTCAAATATTTATTTTTAATTTTATAGGTCTATCACTCTCTCACTTTTACCATGTCGAATCTATCTCCTTGGCTAATGTAGTTTTAAACATCAAAATGACATTATATATTAGAAGTAGACAAATAAATAATACACTTCATTGTTTGCTCTACTTCCACTGAATAAATCAGGTTTTTGATAATTCTTTCTTAAAATTAAACTGTCATAGCCCCTTACTAACACAAATCAGAAATGGACACATTTCTCCACCAATCATATTGTGATTATACATCTCCACCCTTAATCAAGAAGTTTAGAAACTCAACATTCCTCTTTTCTGGAGAGTGGCAAAAGTATATGGTTCTTTTTCCAAAATACCATTTTCAAAATTTAAAAAATATACATAAAACCAGAGGCCCGGTTCACAAAATTCGTGCACTTGGTGGGGGTCCCTCAGCCTGGCCTAGGCCCTCTCACAGTCCAGGAGCCCTTGGAGGGATGTCCGACTGCCATGGAGGTGGGAGAGGCTCCTGCCACCCTGCTGTGTTCGCCACCCGTGAGCCTGGCTTCTGGCTGAGCGGTGCTCCCTCTATGAGGGAGCAGCTCCTGCATTGAGCGTCTGCCCCCTGGTGGTCAGTGCACGTCATAGCAACCGGTCGTTCCACCATTCAGTCGATTTGTGTATTACCCTTTTATTACGTAAGATGCTTAATAAACCACTACTTTGCTAAAATATTTCTTCTAATTTTGAGTTCACCAGCAAGCTAACTTACTGCAAGTTGCTTCATTTAACACTATGTTTAGTAACTAACCAGAAGTTTCAGCACAAGGTATTTCTATAACTTTAAAGCAAAATGTAATTTAGGATGCTTACAAGACCTGGTCTTACTAGTATTTCACTCTTTCAGATTCCTTAATTGCTTGCTTCCAAAATCAATTCTAAAAAAAGTATTTTTGCTTCATAAACTAAGAGGCCTCAATGTGAAAAGTATGTGGGGTAAAAATGTAGATTTTATAGCTACATACATGGGAGCAACAAGAATACTTCAGAAAAGACCTGAGACCCTGGTAATTTACTGTTATCTGTTCTACAATTTTCCACAAAGTACTACGTTACATGCAAAGTGAACAGCCCAGCTGTCACCTTCCTGGTTTTTATAGTAGGGCAGTCAGACAATTTAATCATCCAAACTGAGACATTTCTGAGAGTGAAAGGGGGCACAATCATTAATTATGCCAGGTAACAGGTGTAAACTGGGATTATACATGGACAATCTGAAATATATGGGTATCCTATTTAATAGTAACTTTGCCACCAAAGAATCTGATTAACTTCAATATATGCCAATCAACAGTGCATATTTAGAACTTCAATTCTTCTAAAAGTAATAAAGCAGGGTGAAAAATTAGGTTTTAATTCCTGTGCTAACTACCTTATATGTTTCTGATTTTTAATAAAGTATCCCACTATGACCAGTTACATTACAAAAAATAATTCTTACCTAGCCAATTTCAAAGTGCCTTACTTAAACATTTCCTAAATGATTTTAGGAAGAGGGGTAGAAGTATTTGGACGTACTTGTTGGGATACTTGCGGAAGATGTCCCTGATGACAACTATCGCCTCTTGGACCACATAATTTACTTTGGTTTGGATGAGATCAAGCAATGTGCTCACACAACGTTCTGCAGATTGCTGTGAAGAGGAACATAATAAATGAGAAGTTAGATGATCTATGCAATAATACAACCTCAATATTAAAAAAATTCTGAAGCATATAGGCATATCAACTAAACTAGACTAAAAGATCAGGCACTTAAATTGACCAAGCAATCCTAGAGGCTGGGCTATCTGATGGAGATATATAGAGTTATAGATATATACAGACATATACTGACAGGTGAGTCCATTCAAATGAAAAGAATCATCTTATATATCCAGGAGAATAAAATGGGAAGAATAAGGCAAAGTAGAAGGTCTTTATCTGGAGTTCATGGGTAAGTGGAGACCAGAAAGGCAACTTTAAAACTCTTAAAATGTAATTGCCAAACTTTATATATGCATACAAGCATATTTTCCAGAGAGAGAGTGTCCATAGCTTTCATGGTAGTTTCAAAGTTATCCGTGATTCAAAAAACTCAAGAAAAACTTGCCATCTTTTGGGTTATATACCTAAAAATCTATGGCCTTAGATAAACTGCAATTTCTCAGTTTATAATTCATCTATAAAATAGAATTTAATATAGTAAACTTTCATTGATAAAGGGAGTATGAAAAAATACACGACAAAATTAATATATTGAAATTGTAAATCATAGTTTTTAAAAGGAGATGGGCTCCAGATGAGAAATTCTGAAAATCAAGAACTGGTGTGGTTCAGTGGTTGAGCATCAACCCATGAACCAAGAGGTCATGGTTCCAGTCCCAGAAACTAAAACCAGAAACATGATTAAAATGATTCCCTCTCTAGATAAAAGGAACCAGGGATAGCTACTTTTCATTAAAAATTCTTTAATATTTTAACTATGAGGTTTATTATTTTGATAAACTTTTAAAATGCATTTTAAAGGAAGAAGTAAAGAGAACACTCAGAATCCCATAACATGATCACAACTACCACCAGACACTTGCCTCCACCTTGATGGCACACCGACCAATGGCCCGCACAGCTTTGCGAACAAAGTCAACATCCACCTCCGTGGCATATTCCTTCAGCTCTGCCAGAACCTGTTAAAAATCCAGGAAGTGAACAAACACCAAGGATTCTCAAACAGCAATTTAACAGCCTAGCTTTTTCTGAAGGCCAGACCTTAAGATCTAAGTCATTATAAACTTGAGTTTACAAAAAGTCTGACCTGAGCAATATTGGCTTGAGATGCCAAACGAATCATGATGTCCAGCTTCTCTAGTTTAACATAGATGGGATCATTATACTTCACAAAGAAGACTTTGATTTCCTGCTTTAAGATTTCAGGCCTGTAATACATAGAAACACAAGATAAGGAAGGTGAAGCATTTATAGATATTTCCTGAATTTGTATTAGTATCTAATCTATGCCTCCCTGCTCTCCTCCCACCCTACTCCCCCTCAGGAAAAGAACTCAAAAACTTCCCTTTCACCCATCTACTCAGTTCCATTTAGCAGACTAGTTTTATCCCGTAAAGAGTCAGGGGTACATGCAGTGAAAAACTACTAGAACAACAATCTGGTTCTAAACAATGACCTGAACCATATTAAGCAGGCACTAGCTAGTATGCTATAAGAGACCCCTCAGAAAACAAACTGCATTGTAGAGAAACAACAGGCATTTATTATAGGAATACTCCAAAATCAATTGTGAGTTAGCCTCCTGACCCAGAGCAAGTTGTTAAGCCATACAACATTCTCATTTATATGCATTAAAAAGAGATTAATACTGGCCTCTTTAATATTGGTATTATTAAACTTAATTCAAAATTACAAACACTTTAATCACCAATTCACTTTTTCCCAACCTTTTCTGAACAATTAGGTTGATGTTCCTCAGGGCGACATACTGCACCTCTGGCTCCCCGGACAGCAAAGTGACAAGTGGAGGGGCCAACTTCTTCAGCAGCATATTGTAGTAGTCAGAGTCCTTGGGTAACAACTCTAGAAATTTCATTAGGACTTTTACTGCTGAAAGCACCACTGCTGAGTTGGCATGAGAGAGCCGGGGAGTTACCCGCTCACAGATGCTGAGGGATAAAAAAGGAAAGTTATCACCTTAAATTAAAAATTTTTTGCTCAATACAGTTTATAAGGCAGTATGTCAGAGCCCCATGGGCCAAGAAATTACAGAATCAGTTAGAAAAGTCAAAGCTCCATGCGTAGGTAAAATTGTAATCCAACATTGCAGAAGCCTCATTCCCAGCAAACTACAGGCAGAGCAGGGACATCAGAAAACCTTAGGAAACCAGCAATAAGGGGTTTTCAAACTGGAAGGAAACTAGCCAATACCCCAAACACTTGAAGTTCACACCATTTACCTTCTAGTTTTATAGTCCTCTCTGTCTCCCCATATTATGCAAGGACTCCCTGCCTCAACCTACAGGAAGTCAAATTAAGCATTCTGAGAGTGATTTCATACTGACAGGTATCAACCAACTGTGGTTGAAGATTTCACTGTTAAAATGCAGTAGGAGGTGGATTGACAAGGAAAACTACCCAACCCTTTGCCTTAAGAATAATAAGCGAATCTCTGAAAGGTTTTTTTTTTTTTAACAATAGTACACCATTGCAATATTCTCCCAATCTATTCCCATTCTTCTAGCCCCTACCACCCACTTCAATGCCTCATGAAATCTTGAATATTTAATTATCTGTGGATGGGTCTTCAGAAATTAACCTAATTTTAATAGCTCTCAGGCATTGTAAATGGCTACTGATTATATCCAGTTAAAGATACAAGATAAATATACTGTGTTTCTTTCCCTCCCTGATGCATCTGCTTGGCTAACTCCCTGACCTCCTTCAGGTCTTTATACAAATGCCAACTTCTCAGTTAGGCCTTCCCTGACCACCCTTTTATAAAATATGGCTCATCACAATGCCCAGCATATCTTAAGATCTCTTCCCTACTTTATCTTTTGCATCAACACTTATCATCTGACATATGATATTCATCTTTATTTCTGTGCCATCCCTCAGAATGAGTGTTCTACCAGGGCTATGATTTATCTGTCCACAGTTGTATCTTTAGGGCCTGTAACAGTGCCTAGTACATAACTTGGGCTATATTTCCTGAGTGAATGAATAAATGTGAGATGTCAATGACCAATAGAAAATAAATTCTATGTAAAGTTCTTTCCAGAAGATATCTGTTCTTCTAATGATTGAAATAAACTACTAGGGTGAACCTTAGCTACTAAATTCAGAGGGAACAATTTCCCAGACAAGCAAAGAGCACTTATGTTATAGAAACTTGAGCTTCAGCCAGGCAAGGAAGGTTCTTATCTACCATATTAAAATATGTCAACTTAATAAAGAGCCAACATTTCTTCAGAAGAGCCAATATTTCTTCAAAAGATTGCGAGTTTAGCCTTGGCTGGTTTGGCTCAGTGGATAGAGCATCGGCCTGAGAACTGAAAGGTACCAGGTTCAATTCCGGTCAAGGGCAAGTGCCCGAGTTGTGGGCTTGATCCCAATGGGGGGTGTGCAGGAGGCAGCCGATCAGTGGTTCTCTCTCATCATTGATGTTTCTATCTCTCTCTCCCTCTCCCTTCCTCTCTGAAATTAATAAAAATATATATACATTAAATTAAAAAAAAGATTGTGAGGTAAATTCCCAGTCAGGGCACATGCATGGGTTGAGGGTTCAATTCCCAGTTGGGGTGTGTATCGGAGGCAAGCAATTGATCTCTCTCTCTCTCCCTTTCTCCTCTCCCTCCCTCCCCCTTCCCCTATCTCTAAAATCAATGTACAATTTCTGATAATCAAAGAAAATTTGAAACACTACAGTGGCCAAGGGCTGAGCAGAATAATCCAGATGTGCCTCGCAAAATTTCCAAATTCAGACTGACATGATTTCTATAGTAATGGAAGACATCATATATTTTGCTGGCTCCAACACACTTTCTCTAGTACTGAATTACAGACACAGCTCAACTCAATAACTAGTATAAAGCCAATTACTATGTATCTGATTGAATAAAAAATTTGTCACTACAGTGACAGATACTCACAAACCTTTGTCATATGGCCTTAGAACTGTTGTATGAGAGATGTAAGGCGATGATGATATAGCACAGCATAACTATACTGTGCAAACAAGAAATGAAAAACACACATCTCTTAGAAAGAACTATTTTTGCATGATTTACTCCACTACCTAAAATGTTCCTAAAAATCTGGTAAGAAAATACCATGGGGATAGCAGTATCTATCCCATAAGCCACTGATCTTCAACATATTAGTCTTTTATTCTAATATAAAAACTAGAACTTATTAAATCAGTCAAGACTCCCAGATACTATCCAGAACACCAGACTGACCTCTGAGCCTCCCGGTCATCTTTAGGGTTGTAATTGGACAGGCAGTCCAGGATGAAAATCTGGCCCCATTCAGTACACTCATTCAGGGTTGTCTGCAGCTTATTAATGTTCTGTGGGTTCAGATCGAGTAAGTTGCTGTTTGGGTGAGATTCACTGATTTCAGACAATGCTGCTACAGCATTAGCCACCACCTGGGAAAGAAGAAGATATTACCTTTATTTACCAAGAACAGGACAACCATAGACAACTATAATCTCTCAATCACAAACCTCAAGTCATTCCTGAATATTTTACCTAGTCCATTAGAAATAGATAAACTACTTTTAAAACATATATTAAACCTCCAATGATGGCATATACAGCTTCCTAGTGGTCAGACAACCCAGAATTAAAACAATTCATATATTAGCAGAAAGTCATACATAACTTACTATTAAAACATTAACAGTATTAGTAGTACTCAAAACTATCAATAGAATCAAGACATGAACAGATAAAAAAAAGCAGTGAAGTTTCAATATAAAACACATAATTTTATAGATGAATGGGTATGCATGTATTGGGGGGAGGGGAAAGTGGTGGGGAGATGACACCATCAATCATATCACAAGTCTTAGAGCAAGAAAGTTTGAACTTGAAACAGTAGATCCCTATCTATACATATAATCTCTATATATAAAAGGCTAATATGCAAATTGTCCCCACAGGAGTTTGACCAGAGGACGGGGAGTTCTATCACTTGCTATGATGTGCACTGACCACCAGAGGGAGTGTGGAACAAAGGAGGGCCCCGGCTGGCAGCTGGGGAAGGGAGGCCTAGGCCAGCAGCCGGAAGACCCCGATTGGCCCTTATCACTGACCAGGCCTAGGGACCCTACCCATGCACGAATTTCATGCACCAGACCTCTAGTTATATGATACTGGGAGGCACATAATCTCTGTGAAGTCTAGTTTCCCCATCTGAAAACTAGGGAAAATTTAATCTACGTCCCAGCTTAGCTTTAGTTCGAGGATAAAATCAGATGACATACATATAAATTCTTTCTACAAAGCCTTATGCAAAATAAAGGTGATAAAATTACCATAATTTATCAGTTGCAGAGTTTTCACATAAATATCTCTGAAACTGGGATGCATTTTATAATCAACGGTACATCAAATTAATGTAAAGTATTTTTCTCTCTTGGTAATGCAGAAAATAAAGCATCTTAGAATCAATGAAATATGGTATCTCAAATTTATCCTTCTTTCAGGCAGTATGATAAATAAAAAATTGCTACTGAGTAAAAGAAAGTACACTTGTATCCTGGTTACAGATATGGGATTTCATATTAGTTGAAACAAAAAAGGTAAAACACTTTACCAAACTTATAGATATCTCACATATAAAAAATAACTAACAAAAAGAATAACTAACAATTCTACAACCAATGAATGTAATTTAAAACTTGCAAACACACCCAGGCAAATCAAAGACTATACTATGGCCCCATGCAAGTAAATTTAAAACCACATTTTACAGTGAGGATCCCAGTTGTGATAAAAAATGAGTAAGACAAGGCTCCATATAAATATTCTGTAAATATAGGTGAGATATTATAGGAGATAGCACCTTCAGTAATTATATTGAAAAGATTATCTAGAACAGCCGTGGGCAAACTACGGCCCGCGGGCCGGATCTGGCCCGTTTGAAATGAAAAAAACGAAAAAAAAAAAAAAAAAGACTGTTCCCTTTTATGTAATGATGTTTACTTTGAATTTATATTAGTTCACACAAACATTCCATCCATGCTTTTGTTCCAGCCCTCCGGTCCAGTTTAAGAACCCATTGTGGCCCTCGAGTCAAAAAGTTGCCCACCCCTGATCTAGAACAATGGTTCTCAACCTGTGGGTCGCGACCCCTTTGGCGGTCAAACGACCCTTTCACAGGTGTCGCCTAAGACCATCCTGCATATCAGATATTTACATTACGATTCATAACAGTAGCAACATTACAGTTATGAAGTAGCAACAAAAATAATCTTATGGTTGGGTCACAACATGAGGAACTGTATTTAAAGGGCCAGAAGGCTGAGAACCACTGCTCTAGAGTGTCAACTCATTGTTAATTCTTACTAAAGTCCCTTGGTAAAAATTTGAGAAACTAAGAGTTGTATATTATCCTTTTACTAGCAAGAGAAGAAACCTAGTAGGCATGATTTAGCTATTGATTTTAATACCCACATTATCTGGATAGTCTGTAGATTATTCCAGAATATGGTTTTACCTAGAAGATAAAATCTAGAGAGTATGATTTTTTAATCAAGTAATAATACCCTTGTGATAATATCCACTATTATGTTAAGGATAATGACACCACAAAGGGAATCATCTTCATCTATAATTTAGTGATCAGAATAAAATTCAAAGATGAAAAATCAAAGGCTCATTTGTTAAGTATGATTAAGGATATAATATTTTACTGGTAGTAAAACCAATCAGGAAGAATTATCTAGTCCACCTACTACTGCATGGTGGCATGTATAAGGCTCTTTTCTGACTTAACTTTTGTTTGCTACCTCCACCATCAAACAGGGGATTTAGTGAAAAATAAAAGGCATAAAGAGTGAAATAATAATCCCCTCCATCATCTCAGTGCTTTACATACAAGGAAAAGATATTTTATTTCCCATGTACAATACACTTGATAGACCCGATTATAGTTAAAAGGATCAAAATATCACCGGAAGCCCTGGTTGGTTTGGCTCAGTGGATAGAGTGTTGGCCTGCGGACTGAGGGGTCCCAGGTTCAATTCCGGTCAGGGGCATGTGCCTTGGTTGCGGGCGCATCCCCGGTTGGGGTGTGCAGTGGGCAGCTGAGCGATGTTTCTCTCTCATCGATGTTTCTGGCTCTCTATCCCTCTCCCTTCCTCTCTGTAAAAAATCAATAAAATATATAAAAAAAAATATCACCGGAAGACCAAATGCCTGTTTTTGTCTACTGCTGCCAACAAATGTCTAGCCTTAGTTTCCAGTTGTCCAAAATAAACATCCTACTACAGCTTACTATTTCTGCTAGTCAAATCCTTCTTTTTTTTTTAAAATATATTTTATTGATTTTTTACAGAGAGGAAGGGAGAGAGATAGAGAGTTAGAAACATCGATGAGAGAGAGACATCGATCAGCTGCCTCCTCCACATTCCCCACTGGGGATGTGCCTGCAACCCAGGCACATGCCCTTGACCGGAATCGAACCCGGGACCGCTCAGTCCGCAGGCCAACGCTCCATCCACTGAGCCAAACCGGCCTCGGCCAAATCCTTCTAATGTTAAAAACAAAAAAGTTAAATATGAGGTCTGTTAATAGGAAATGTAGAGGAAAGGGTGAGAATTGGGGGAATTAAAAACATTGGGGAGACCAAAAAAAAAAAAAAGAAAAGAAAGAAAAAGAAGAAGAAGAAAAAAACATATGGGCCACAAAAAAAAAAAAAAAAAAAAAGGAAAAAAAAAAAAAAAAAAAACATTGGAAAGGAAAAAAGAAGAAAAAAAAAACATTGGGGAGAGCCCTGGCTGTGTGGCTCAGCTGGCTGGAACATTGTCCTGTACACCAAAAGACGGCAGGTTTGATTTCCCAACAGGGCATATGGCTGGGTTGCAGGTTCAACCCCGGGATGAGGCACATGTGGGAGGCAACTATCAATGTTTCGATGTTCTTTTTCCTCTCTCTCTTTCTCTCTCTCAAAAACACACACACACTCTATCTCAAACACACACAAACTTAAAACAACAACATTGGAGAGGAAAGAGAACAGAAGGATGCTGAACAGAATGAACAATTAGAATTCCTTTGTTATTGTCACAGGCTATTATTATAAATTAAACCAAGTGTACACTGCAGCTAATGAAGTATATATTCTGGTGGTTAAATAGGCAATTTTCACATTAAAACAAAAGAAGGAAATAGGAAAAAGTCACTCTAATTAAAAGATCCAGCAAGATCAGATTATCTATAATAATAAAAGCATAATATGCAAATCGACCAAACAACCGAGCAGCAGAACGACCATCCAGATGACCATGCTATGACATGCACTGGCGCCAGGCCAGCCAAGGTGGTATGATACGATTTGTCAGGGGGCCTATGTGATCACCCCAAAGAGGGAGGCCCAGGCCATCCTCTGAGTGGCAATTGATCACGGAGCCCCGTCAGGGCACATGCCCGGGTTGCAGGCTTGATCCCTGGTATGGGGCATACAGGAGGCAGCCTGTATTCTCTCTCATCATTGATGTTTCTAACTCTCTCTCCTTCTCTCTTCCTCTCTGAAATCAATTTAAAATAAAATAAATTTAAAAGGTTATATCTCTCTCACTTGAACCATCACATATTACATTTTTCATGAATTTGAACTAACACATGTAACATTTTTCACTCTAGAAACTTGGTATTTCTTAAAAAACACTACCATGAAGAGAACAATGGCCTTTTAACTATAAACTCATAAAAATTAGAGTTCCCAAGAAAGAAAGGGTTTCTAAATAAAGTTTTGTATTAAAAAATGAATTTATAAGGTTTCTTGAGTTTTATCAATACATTAGCTGCTTTATAAAAAGTTGACATCTAGCTTTAGCTGGTTTGGCTCAGTGGATGGAGCGTTGGCCTGCGGACTGGAGGGTCCCGGGTTTGATTCCAGTTGAGGGCACATGCCTGGGTTGCAGGCTCGGCCCCCAGTAGGGGGTGTGCAGGAGGCAACTGATCAATGATTCTCATCATTGATGTTTCTATCTCTCTCCCTGTCCCTTCCTCTCTGCAATCAAGAAAAAAAAAAGTTGACATTTAGGCTATAAAAGAACACATCCATAGGGTCAAAAATATGTATTTTTAAAATTCATCTAACTTGTCAATTATGGTAAGTTCTGTCCTTTGGGGGACTGCAACTAAACATTCCTCCTCCCCATTATATCCCACTCCACCTAGACCTACTGTAATATGTCTACTTTATAGATTCAGATGTTAAAAACATGTCTTTCCCTGCCTTAACTAAGAGAATCTGACAATTCCATTCAATTTGTTAGTTCCTTATAGACCCTTGGAATCTGAATTTTTTAAGGTAAGCAATTTATGTTTTTACTTACTCGATACTATACTTACTAGAGTTAAACAAAGAGATAAAATATAATAATAGGCAAAATGTATTGAACACTTACTATGTCCC